CTCTGTGTGTGGAGGGGGTGGGAATGATTCTTGCAGTAAGGATTTGTTTCCTCTTTTGAGCTACTGCATCCATAGGTGCAGGTCAAGTTCATCAAATTGTATCTTGACCTGCACCTGTATCAAGCAAAAAATTGTGCTTTTTTTTCTCTTCTTTCTTCTTCTGGTTGAGCTCTGGTCATCCAGTCATTGAAGCCAGGTCAAGTGGGTATTATCTGCAACTGTGGGTGTTCTTGTGCATATCTCCTCTCTTCTTATCAGCTGGATGCTTCACTCTCCACTCTAGTCCTCTTTGGCTGGTAACACAACTTTTTGAAGACCACTTGCACTACCTTATGTTTGCTATAAGGATCCCTGGTGGTGCAGCTGCTAAAGCACTTTGCTACTAACTGAAAGGTTAGTGGTGCAATGCATTAGCTGTTCTGCAGGAGAAAGATGTGGCAGCCTGCTTCCATAAAGATTATAGTCTTGGTCTGAAAGGGATCACAATTGAAAATCCTGGATAGAGTGGGAGAAAAATATGGAAAAAAAATCAAAATTGTAAAAAAGACTAGGCTTCCTGATTTCATAGAGACTGTTGAAGCCACTGAGACTATGACCCTTCAAGCCTAGAACTAAAAGCATTCTCATGGCTCAATTTCTAGTCTAACAGTAGACTGGTAAACAAGTAACATTAGAGAGGGATGCAATCCTTAATACAATGAACCATTCTAGATCAAAAAGGCAGCATTTGCCATGGACAATGTCCAGAATGCAATAAAGGATAGGGAAGAGTCAATGGAAACAGGAAACACAGGGAGGTATGGAATGAGTGATGTGACATTGTGAGGATTGCAATGAATGGCAGGAAACAAAATGTGTATGAATTATTGGATGGAAAACTGACTTGCTTTAATCCAAATTACAATAAAGAGTTTATTAAAGAAAAAAAATCATAATCTTGGAAAACTACTCTGTCACATGGGGTACATGGTACCTAAAAACAACAGCAAAGATTTGTTTCAGAATGTTATCACATATATTAACTCATTTGATCCTTACAACTCTCTAAGGTTGTCAGAGAAGAGCTTTAACTATCTTTATTTTACCAATTAGAAAATCAAACCCCAAAAATGTTGAATAAATTTTCCAAGACTAGAATAGTAAGCTCCTGGAAAGATCCTCTGGCCTTTCAAGAATCCTCTTTCCTTTCACTTACAGAGTATGGAAAAACCATCAGGTGGATTGTAACATCATACCTTAGTAATTAACTGTCTGTCTGCACTGAACGATAGACTGACACAATGTAGATGACCTTGATGTCACAATTTTACAACTGTATTTTATCCTATATCCCCCAAACTAGTCCTTTAAAAAATTTTTTGGACAAGTACATGTCCAACAAGTGAGATAACATGCAATTCCTATCATCACATGTTGAGTAAAGATTAAGGTTTGGAAGGGATGGAAGGAAGCCTAAAAGAAGAAAATAAACACACAGCTTCTTAATCTCTTGGATGAAATGATAAAGGTCTGTAATGGATGGCAGGCCAGTGGGGGGAAGTTAAAGGAAAGGGTGGAAAGCTGAAAAAATGTGGAGTCTGGCTTGTCATACAATGAGGGAAGCAGATCAGCAGTAACCCAGTGACACGGTGGAGATGAAACCCAGACAGATTGACTAACTGCTTCATGATCTTCTAAGAGTTTAAAAAAGATGTCAATTCTCTAATTCCAGAGATCTGAGAGGGAACCTGCAATCAGTGTTTCTAAAAGGTATTTCATGGGATTTGTCATGAATCTGGACTTTAGAAGGTACTGTCGTTGAGGCCAAAGCAGGTACTTCATGAATGAGGATTCTACTCTGTAGAGAGGTTGAGAATGAAAAATGAGGATGGGTCATCGTGTTTGAGATGACCTGACCTCTGAGAGTTGATAAAGAGTGTCAGAATTAGCAAAGGTAAAGAAACAGAGAGAATATGTCATGAGCAAGGGGCAGTGAGGAGACCAATCTATCTGACCTGGCACATTCCTAAGGTGGAAAGTTATTTGGATCTGTAGGATATGAAAAGCTCAGGTTGAAAGACTTGGTATTTCTCCCATTTGGGCAACAGCCATTTATATCATTGAGCAGGGTGAGGCATGAAGAAAGCTCTAGCTGTGTATGGTAGCTAGAAAGACTAAAGCATGTTTCAACTCAACCTGCCTAAACTACCTAGCGATTCAATAGCTAGATATGAAGTTCATAGAGATAAACCCCTTGCTTACCCTTTCCAGATTACACAGCAAGCAAGTGGTAGAACTAGGATTATAAAACAATAGTTTTTGGGCTGAAATACCATGGTGTGATTTCAGGGGCAAGTAAATTTAGAGGCAAGAAACAGGAGGCACTCAATCATCCATGCCAAGAAATTTGGAAGACAGCTACATGGCCAGCTGTTGGAAGAGATCCATATTTGTGCCCATTCCAAAGAGAGATGACCCAACAGAACGTGGATATGATCAGATAATATCATTAATAGAGCATGCGAGTAAAATTTTGCTAAAGATAATTTTAAAATGGCTGCAACAGTACACTGACAGGAAACTGACAGAGGTTCAAGTTAGATTCAGATGAAAATGTAAAATGAAGGACAGCATTGCTGACATCAGATGGATCTTGTCTGCTAGCAGAGAATACCAGAGAGGTGTTTTACCTGTGCTTTATTGATTATGAAAAGGCTTTTGATTGTGTGGATCATGATAAACTATGGACAACATTGCAGAGAATGAATATTCTGGAACAATTAATTGTGCTCATGAGGAACCTATACTTAGATCAAGGAGGTTCAAACAGAACAAAGGGACACTGTATGTTTTAAAATTAGGAAAGGTGTATGCCAGGGTTGTATTCTTTCACCGTATTATTCAGTGTGTATGCTGAGCAAATAATCCAATAAACTGGATTACATGAAGAACATGGCATCAAGATTAGAGGAAAACTGATAAAAACAACCTGCAATATACAGGTGATACAACCTTGCTGGTTGACAGCAAAGAGGACTTAAAATACTTACTGAAGATCAAATACCACAACCTTTGGCATGGATTACGCCTCATTGTAAAGAAAACAAAAATCCTCACCAATGGACCAATAAATAACATGAAGATAAACGGAGAAAAGACTGAAGTTGCCAAAAACTGCATCAACAGTAAGCAGTAGTGAAAAAAATCAAATGACGTATTGCATTAGGCAAATCTGCTGCACAAAACCTCTTTAAAGTGTTCAACAGCAAAGATATTAGTTTGAGTACTTAGGTGCCCCTAACTCAAGTCATGGTATTTATAATAGCCTCATATGCATGTGAAAGTTGGACAATGAATGAAATAAGGAAGACCTTAGAAGAATACATTTGAGTTATGGTGTTGGAAGAGAATATAGAAAGTACCATGGACTGTCAGAATAACAAACAAATCTGTATTGGAAGAAATACGGCCAAAATGATCTTTAGAAGGCAGGATGGAGAAGGCTAGTCCCTGGAGAAGGACATCATGCCTGGTAAAGTAGCATTTCAGTGAAAAAGAGAAGAGCCCCCTGAACGAGATGAACTGGCACAGTGGCAGCAGCAATGAGCTGCTCCTAGGGCTCAAGCATGGCAACGATTGTGAGACTGGTGCAGGACTGGACAGTGTTTTGTTCTATTGTGCATAAGGTCATTACACACCTAACAATAACATATATATGGGATTACATAATTGATAGTTGTTGTTAAGTGCCACTGAATCCATTTGAACTCACAGCGACCCTACAGAATGTTTCAAGGGAGTGGCTAGTAGGTTTGAATCACCAATCTTGCAGTTAACAATTCAGTGCTTATCCTAGAGCACAACACTAGGACTCTACATAACTGGTTAAGGGTACAAAAATGCAAGCAGGTATGTGCTTTTCAGTTAATTACAAGATGGTTACAGTACAAAGGAAGGACAGGTTTTTCATGGAACCTGCTCTTAAAATTGCTTTCTCAACATGTCTGGTTCTGTGGGTTTCACTGTAAAGATTCATTGACAGTGTTATGTGAAGCCCTTCAGGCTTAGGGATCACATTCTTAATTTGAGTATAGGAGAAAGACCTCTTAAGATTCTGACATCTTGTATCTGCCTGAGCAAACATTTCCTTTAGGACATCCAGTGAAGTCAGTATAAAGGTTAGAGCTGTGTAACAGTAGTCTGTTTAAGTCTCCATCAAGAGTCAGGAATACCTAAAGATGGAATGTCCTAAGAAGGCTGGAGATCTTGCAGCGAGCTCTGGGACCTGAAGTTCAAACGTGGCACTGCACTGGAGCCTGGGTCCTGGAGATGGGAGCTGCTAATAACCATAGGGGCCCAGGGTTGAGAGATATCTGACAACCCTACATGGTGGGAGTACAAGGATGGTAAAGACAAAGGAGAGGATAGACAGTGACAGAGAATTACAGTCAGAAAGAGGAAAACAATCTAAGAGCTGAATTCCCCATAGAACAGAAATACAAAAAGTAAAACAGAATTAAACTTTATTAGTCTGTCCCAACAGATGGCAATTTCAATAAAAATAAATCCAGTAAAATACTTGACATATCACAGAAAATTATATTTGCTGAATGAATGGTGCTGGGAATCATGTCTTCTACAAAGCCAAATAAAATTTATTATTATGTACTTATTATTTTTTTAGGAGCTATGGTATTGCAGCGGTTACGAGTTGGGCTGCTAATCTCACGGTCAGCAGTTCAAAACTACCAGCGGCTCCGAGGTAGAAAAATGAGGCTTCTGCTCCCGTAAAGATTTACAGCCTCCGAAACCCTATACAGGGTCTCTGTGAGTCAGAATGGACTCGACAGCACACCACCACCATTATTATTTCTTTACTGTCCTGATTGGGAATAAAAGTCAGGTTTAAACTTGAGTTGTCCAGGCGCTCGAGAGCGCAGGCGCCCTCAAATCCTAGGCCAGAGTCACCCACACGTAAAGCGAGGAGGGGTCGCTTGTCTCCCCCATACCCTGCTCTGCAATCATCGACCCCCGCAGAAGCACTCACGTCTCTGGCGCTGGGTGCACGTCAGATCCGGGATGAGGAAGGAGGAGCAGCCACGACACCCACCGGGTCCTCTTCACAGAAGGGTCCATGGGGATGGAGGAGGAAGGTGGGCGGGTGCCCGCGCTCCTTCTCGGCTATTCCCGGGCCCTGCCCGCCAGCCCGCCGCCGAGCTCCGCGCCCGCTCACCGCCGCAGGACCAGCCGCTTCGCGATGGTCCTCTCCGTGTGGCAGTAAAACCGCGCCAGAGCCTGATTCTCAGGGTCCTGCGCGAGGACGCAGTGGGCGGCCTGGAGGAGGGCAGTGGTCACTGGGCTGACTGAACTGGGCCGCTGTCCAGGTGAGCACCCGAACCACAGACCCACCTGGTACAGGAAGCTTAGCTTCTGGAAGGCCTTGCGGTCCTTCACGGGGCCCAGTCATCACTGCGGCTTGGGACCCACGCTGACTCCACCCCTGACTTCTGCACACGGCCTCCTGGGAAATGTATAGTCCTTTCCCGTTCTGTAGCCAGACGCAGTCGCGAAGATATACATTGTTAAGTGCCCTGGAGTTGCTTCTGACTTATAGCGACCCTGTATATGAAGCCCTAGTGTGGCGCTGTGTCCTAGAGCGTCAGAATGCAAAGTCGTTTAAATTGCAAGGTTCGTGGTTCAAGCTCACCAGCTGCTCTTTGGAAACCCTATACAGGATCGCTATGGGTCTGAATCAACTCGACAGTACTTAACAACAAATAGGATTTCCGAGTTGGAGCTGGTGGGTTTGAACTGCCAACTATGTGGTTCACAGTCCAGTCTGATCCTACAGCGCCACACCAAACAGACATTAGAAACATACATTATAAAATATGTGTGTGCTAGTTTGAGTGAAGGTGTGAAAGACCGAGAGAGAAAAAAATGGCTCCCTAGACAGGAAAGAACAGCTTACTACCACTTCCTCATCAAAGAAGCACTTCCGGTTAGGCAGTTCTAGACACATAGCAGGGAATCTTCGTGAGTAGATGGTTTCTAAGTCCTAGTCTTCAGGAGCTAGAATACAGGAACCAGTTCATAACATCCCGAACTTCTAAAATCGACACTCCGCTCTTCTTGTAGACACTTTTTACACCCTTACTTCTGACATTTCTTTATGTCTTCCACTTGCTGATTGGCATCCTAGTAATTCCTCTTCATGGCTAATGACTAAAGTTCCTGAGGACAGAAGTATGAAAATAGCAGAATGGATATGAACCATGAGATAGGAGGAAGGCAGCATGTCAGATGTTAAGGTGTATCTTCCCTCAGACCCCTGCCAGGCTGGTACTACAATCAGTTCTCCAGCTTCAAGAAAGAAAATGGTTGAAACATCTTCCAGGACTGAATTTTAGGTCAGAATGACAGGACCAGAGGCAGCCAAGAGGAGTGTGTTTAAAATGCACATGTCTAAGCACCCCCTCAAACCCTGATCATTCATTGTGAGACAGACCCAGGAACATGCAATTTTGACACCCCAGTGATTCCTACAGATAGTAACACCAGCCACTGACAAATTACCACACAACACAGATCACTTCAGTAGTTCCTTTGTTCCATATTGTTTCAACCAACCAAAGCTTCTTGCCACAAAGAACCAGTCAAGGCACAAAGGTTAAAGGAGAAGAGTTTGGACAAAGTCCTGTTGAGGTGAGAGGAGGAGCTGAAATGCCCTCAGTAAATAGTAGTCTCTTGTCCCAATCTTCTGTCAACTCTTGACTACTCAAGTAGAGGTAATCCAAGTTATTTTAGTTTGGTTTGGCAGGCATCAGTTACCTTTTCTGGTAACATATGTACCCTGCAGCATGTTTATTTTGGCCTATTAAAATAATGTGTGTTCTCTGAAAAGGTGAATGGCAAAGGGTGAGGAACAGCAACAAACAAGCCAACGACTGGCTCTTCTGAACACACATTCCAGACCAGGTGCATGTAGGTGAAAGCGAGTTGCTTATCTGGCCGTCCCTACCCAAACCATCTTTTTCTACACGTCCTCAGGGTGAGAAAGACATTACCTTTCTTCCTTTCTGGTGTGGACACCTCAGCAAGGTAACAGGCTGACAAGAAGAGTAACTATTGTTGAGGTCAGGGCCTTGGATAGAAATCCACTCTCTTTAATACTGTACCCTCTCCCTTCCAAGTTCTTTTGGGAAAGCAGTGAAAGGGTAGACATGTCTGCAGAATTCCTTTAATCTCTTTTCTGGAGAGGAGTGAGGTATCAACTTGAAGACAACCTACTACAAGAAGGCAGGCAATAAATCAGCTTTGCTGCAAGACTGGGCAGAGACCTAGGTTCTCCTGTTCTAACCCCTATTCTTTACCCTGATTCCTCTAGCACATGCCTACTTCTCGCCAATAATACTCATAATGATAACCTTAACCTGGAAATAGAAGACAAAGAAACTCCCTTTCCTTAACCTTATGAATGCCTAATCTCTGTCCTAGAAATACTCACCAACTTCTAGAACCATGAGAACAGCTGTCATTCATCTTTATTTAACCTGGAGGTATACAGATCTCAGTGATCTTCCTCAGGAAATAAGACTGTTCTGGATCAAGGAATACCCAAAAGGATGCACATAAGGGTTTCTTTTTCTCTCTCCAGCTTGAGGAAGACAGAGTCTCCTTTATTGATAGTTTCTGGAAAAGCCCCTCTTTTCTTGTCAGCCTGTCCTTGTGCAACAGAACTCTGATGGAATTAGGGGAGGCAATCCCCTGCGTACTAGCTCCTCAGCTCGAAAGTCAGGAGGGGGACACGGTTGTGCTCTCATCCCAGCCCAGTCCTCTCCTCCACACAAACCATCCTACAAACCAAGGTGCTTCTCCTGGACGATTCAAGACTGGATCCAGGCAGACAGGAAGATGCTTCATCAGGACACAGGATGGAAGGCCCACCACTCAACCCTGCCTTACCCGATTATTTCCATGTCCCCTCCTGACTATCACTCCCAATCTGTTGGGGGCCTAATTGTAAGTGGAGCAGCATTCTTCCGACCAGCCCGGATGCCTGGGTAGAAGAGGGGCCAAAGTTTCTCAGTGAAAGTGTCAGTGAAGGTGTAGATATGAGAGCGGTCTGTGACGTTGTAAAAAGACAGCGTACCAGCCTCATAGTCTAGGAATATGCCAACCCGCTTGGGTTTCACCTTGATGTGCAAAGGGGTAAAAGGTGTGGTGGTGGCCACATATTTGTCCCCATTCCACAGCCGTACCCGCCAGTAGCCAGTCTCAGGGAGTGGGGTTAGCTCGCCCTTTCGGCTCACGGAGTCCCGGCACACACCCACTGCCCAGTGGGTCTTGTCGCCCACCTCCACCTCCCAGTAGTGTCGACCGGAGGTGAAACCCTCAGCAGCCAGGACGCAAGGGTAGAAGGTGAAGCGCCGTGGTGTGTCAGGGAGATCCCGAAGTCTTGTCTCCACAAACTTGACACTCTTACGATCTTCTGACAGAACTAGGTTAGGATGTGCAGTCTCAGGGTCCAGGGTCACGTCCGCTGGCGGGAGAAGCCAGAGTGGGGAGCTAGATAAGAACGGGAATAGCTAATCGCCCCTGCCTCACTCTTCCAGCCTGCCTTAACTAAACTCTCTTCTTTAAAAGGTCCCCAGAACACATGGTTTGGTTTGCTTCCTCAATCCAGGATGTCACTGCCCAAGAGGGGAGGGAACAATGGTTTCACTTTTCAACTTGACCCTAATGTCAGAGATCTGACTCTGTAAGGGTAGGTGGTCCAGCTTCCAGCCTAGTCCTCTAAACGTCCCCCTTTGACATCCTCTACCTCACTGTGTGGAGACTAACTCGTCACAGTCAAGGGCCAAAAAGAATGGGATGTGCTAGAAGGATACAGAGCCAGGCAACAGTATGGTTTAGGGACAAAGTGATCCTGCGCCTGCAGTACGCCTCTTTTCTCGGCATAAATATTCATGCACTCCCTTTCATTCCTTTTTTTTTAAATGTTTTATTGTGAATTATGTGATAGTTTACATGGGATCCCTTTCAGTCTTAACAGTGTTTCAGGTTAGATACTATGTGGTCACTCTCCTGATGACTTGGGCAAATTATGGAAGCTCTCCAGGCATAAGAGCAGAAGATGCCTAAGGCTTCCTCTCACTTGGTCTCTCTGGCTTAGCTAACAGTGACACTGAAAGCCAGGTAAAGGACTGGGTGAGTGTGACTCTGGAAAGTGACAGGGGTAACTGAAGCCCAGATGAGGTTAAGACCTAAGGAGTTTCTGTCCTTTGCTGATTCCTCTGTTAGTTTTCTTTGGGGAACAACTCACCAATTAGTTGCTTAAGGATCTTCCTCAGGGCAAAGTACTGTCGAGGGAAATTGCTGAAGTTCTTCTCCAGCTGTATGGATACAGAAGTCACCTCCATGGTCTTCATTTTTTCACATCTAGGAGGGTAGGGAGATAGGGGAAGACAGGGTAGGGTCAGGGAGAAGTTCCAGTCACCTAACTAAGTATTCAGATGTTGTCATCTTCAGTGAGAAACAGTTTCCCTCTTCCCACTTTATCACCATTCCCTGAAGATAAACACTTGCCTACTCTTTTCTTTTACCAATCTATGGGGAACCATATAAGTCCCCTGGACAGAGTCTAACCTTGCGAACGAGACTCAGAACTTTCCAGAGGTGTTTTCCAATTTCGTGAATAATGATAAAACATCCTCCCCTTCTTCTGATACCTTCCTCCTCCTTCCATCCTGTTAAAAAAAACCGGTGGGGCAACGGGGGAAAAAAAAATGGAACAAAAAGAATGGAAGAAACAAAAAGGTGCCCAGTCAAAATCAACAACCGCCCCCTGGAAAACCGAAAAAAGGGTGCCGGGAAGGGGAAACGAACCAAACGCAACTAAAAAAAAAAACCCAAAACAAAAAAAAAAAACCGCCTCCAAAATAATAAGCCCCCCAACAAAAAAGGCCCAAAGAATTGCCCCCCAAACGGGTTCAAGGGGCAAAGAAAACAACTCCAAAACCTAACCAAAAAACGCAAAACCTCCCAAAACTAACCCCCCAAACCCAACGCAACCCCAAAACCCAAAACAAAGCCCAAACCAACCAAAAAAAAAAAAGAAAACAACCAACTTTCCAAGGGAACTTTGAAAACCCAAAAGGAAAGAAAAAAAAAAACAAGAATGGGCCCAAGAATCAAAGGGCCCGAAACAAAAAAATAAACCCCCCCCAAAAAAGTCCGGAACCAAAAAAAAAGCAAAAGAAAAAATTAAGAGTCACCATCCAAGGGGAAGAGCACCAGAGGGGCCCAAGTGCATCTCTCCCAACCCAATCCCTTTGGTCATCATGAAGCTTTGGTCATCAACTTTCCACATTGGTCGTCATGAAGCTTGGTAATTTACATCACTTCTAAATGGTTTCTGGTGTGTTTGTTCCTCACTGACACTGGGAGCTCGTTGCAAGGGACAGGGATTGTGTGTCTGCTCTTTACTCTGCCCCACTGGGTACTAATCACATAGTTCAGTTCCTTTGAGGTTCAGGAGACAATTCCAACTGGTGGCACAGGAATGAGTCACAATTTTCTGTTGTTTGGAATCCCCCTCTGGTATTGGTAAATAAATACATTGATAACTGTGTGTCAACCCCTGATAAGAGATTACTTCAGGTTTAGAACATAAAGAAGACAAATCTCTGCCCCGCTGCAAGATCTCCCAGTTTAATGTGGTAGGCAGAGCACACATACATGAAAGGACACATGAATAAATACCAAGCAATACATAGCATGCACACAAATGTACAATAAAGTCTCATGGATTCAAATGCTGGTACTTTCATCTTAAATATGTTTCCTAAAGTCTGTTTCAATACTGTTCAATTGCTTAAAAAACATTCTTTCAAATATTTTAGAGGTATCATTTCCATATCAAAAATAATATATTATCACACATAATTCTAAGTATCCTCTAAACTATGTTTTTTTTTCTTTCCCTTTTAGCACTAGATTAATCAAGTTCCAGATCTTAAAAGTAATGGAAGTCCGTTTACAAAACTTTTATTGCATACTTTTTCACTAATTCAGACTGGACTTTCAAAATAGTTAAGTTTTTCTTTGGTATAAATTAAGCACAAACTTGTTGATAAGACATAAGAACAGAAATGATTAGAAGGGGTTGGGAGAAGTCAGAGAAGCCTTTCAGTAGAAAAGGATCCTTTGAGCATGTTGGGAAAAAACAGGTTTAAAAGAACAGAGCAGAAGGGTGAGCATCCAGGGCCACTGGAATGGCCCATGCAAAGCTATATTGTTTGTGCTCGACCCGAGGGGTCACGCAGGGGCAAAGGTCGAACCTTAAGCATCTCGAAGCCCGATTGTAAGCACTTGGCCTCCACCTCAGCAGCCAAATGGGCCAGGTCCCGGCGCTTGTCCCCGAGGTAAGCAGCATTTTCTCGGAGTCGCTGCAGAACGTCCTGTTCCTCCTCCTCCAGTCGTGACAGCAACATCTGCTGCTCTTCATTCAGCCGCCTATGAAGCTCCTCAAACTCCCTTAAGATCTGCTGTCGGCGGCTCTCCACCAGTCTCTGAGGACAGAGGGATGATGTCGTTATCAGCAGGGTCAGTGGACGTGAGGGAGCCTTCCCTCCACTCACCGTGTGTGTGAATTGACAGACTTCCAAATAGTTTATAAATAGTTTAATAGCACATGTGTTTTTCTCTTGGAATTTCCTTCTGTAAAGAATGGCTCCACCCCTAATATTACCCTTTATTGATGAAGTAATAGTGTGAGAACCACTGAGATTTAAAACGTTTAATTCTTTATGTTTTAATAAAATGTACTGAAGACCTTGGGACTCAATAATATGATGACCTGTACATTAAGATATTTCAGAGATAGCTATGTCTCTTTGCTACTGCCCATCTCTAAAGTTCCAGTCCTGGTATAGTGCTATGTGATAATGCCCTGGACTGCAAGGTTGGTTTAAACTGCAAAGTCAGCAGTTTAAATTCACCAGCCGCTCCTCAGAAACCCTATACAGGAACAGACCCGATGGCACTTAACAACAACAAAGTTTCGGCTAGTGCAATCTGTCAACAAAAGCAAAATGCAAACAGAAAAGTTAGAGATAAGATAGTCAATGTTTGTATATTGTAAGACATCTATCTATGTGATAAAAGTCTGAGAAGCAACTGGAAAGGAATCAGTAAGAGTTCAGTAATAGATTTTTATAAAATATATGTACAGATTTCAGGGCTGAGTGTCTTAAATAATTTCAAGTCACTTCAGAGAACTGGCAGTTCCCACCACAAGAAAAGGTTTCAGGATTTGTTAAATTGTTTAAAATTGCAAACATGTTTCCTTGAAACCAGTAAACTTTAATGCTCTAGTTGATTCTGACTCAGTAGGAGCGGCTGGTGTTGCAAACGGCTCACTTGTTGGTTGGCAGCCAAGTGCTTTAGCCACTGTGCCACCAGCTGCTGTTGTTAGGTATGTCTAGTTGGTTATGATTCATAGCAAACCTATGTACAGCAGAATGAAACACTGCCCAGTCCTGTGCCATTCTCACAATCTTTCCTGCTTGAGCCCATTGTTGAAGCCAGTGGCAATCCATCTTACTGACCCTCTGTATTACCAGGGACTAGTCCCTTTTGATAACACTTCCAAAGTACTTGAGAGGAAGTCTCATCATCCGCACTTCAAAAGAGCATTCTTTTTCCAAAACAGATTTGTTTGTTTCTCTGGCAGTCTATTGCATATTCAATATTCTTCACTAACACCATAATTTGAATGCATTGATTCTTCTCTGGTCTTCCTTATTCATGGTCCAGCTTTTATATAAAATTAACTGATGCAATAATACTTGCGTCTGTTGAAATGTGGTGATTCATTAAAAAACAAGACAATATATTGCTTGTACTATTTAAAGACCTATGCTAAATTTCCAGTGATCCCTAAGTGTCAACTCCAAAACTTCATTATTTCTCAGGGATCCTCTACTTAGGTCAAATCTCTATACTCCATAATTATAAACTTGAAACTGCTTTTCATGATGTTATTTCATTCTCAATTTTCTCAACTTGACTGTCAGCTCATCACTATCCCCAGTGCCTAATACAGTTTGGCCTATACCAGTTAAATAAATACTTGCTTATTCACTAGTATGTCTGGTTTAGCCATATACTGGTTGTTTGATTTTGGATTAGATACTTGTCTAAGTTTCAGTTTCCTCCTCTGTAAAAAGTAGGGGATAAGAGTACTTGTTTACCTTTGCCAAAGATGAGCTTCAGGACCTCCTTCTCTTTTGTCTTGTAAGTTCTCTAAGTCCCACTTTGCCTGAACTCTTAGAACTGCAACCTCAGCAGAATCTGAGACCTAATATAAAACTCAGAATTTGCACCCAATGAAGTAATAATAAACAGGATGCAATAACTATTAGCTGCTATCGTTGCTATGGAGTCCTGGTGTGGCGTTGTAGGAAAAGCACTAGATTGTTGGTCACAGTCAGCAGTTCAAACCCACTAGCCTCTCTGCAGAAACCCTATATAGGGCTACAAATTGGAACTAATTTGATGGCACTTAACAACAAATCATTGTTATAGAAACCTTGGAGGTACAGTTGTTAAAGTGATACACTATTAACAAAGGTTGATGGTTTCAACCAACCAGACAACTCTGTGGGAGACATATGTGACACTCCACTTCTGTAAAGATTTACGGCTATCAAGTTGGTTCTGACCCTACAGTGACCCCGTATAGGGTTTCCAAGGAACAGCTGGTGACCTTGAATCGCCAACACTGTGGCTGAAACTGACTTTGCAGTCTAGCACATTAGCCCACAGTGCCACACCAGGATCTAGCATGAATATGATGCTATGAAAGATTCACAATAGTATGAAAATGAAGAGAGGCCATTGCTGAAGAGTCAGAAAAAGCTATAATGAAGTGGCTTTATCCAGAGACCTGGAGAATAGATAGGATGCTACAAGTAAGGAGGGAAAGAGCATTCTAGGAATGAACCATTAGTTAGAATACTTGAACTTACTTGAGTCATGAAAACCTGGTCCTAATGTCACTGGGCAGTTCCTTCTCCCTTTCTCCCCAGTGAATCTTATAAATGCTCCTCTCCCCAATCCCTCTAGGAAACTCCTGTCCCTACATACTGACAAAGAGCTTCCCTTCCTGCTTTACAAAGAAAAATGAGATGAACTAGTAGGAATTCCCTCAATTTGCTAGCTGCCAAGACGTTCGGTCTGTCCTTCACCTCTCATATCCTTCCCCTCAATGCTTAACTCATGACAGTTATTAAAGTACAATGTTTAACGACAAACCTTATAAAATATCACCAATTTTGAGAGAATACAAGAGGACTTCAAAAAGTTCATTGAAAAAAGAATGAAAAGAATGGAATTTTTCCACAAACTTTTTGAAGCCCGCCCTCCCCAGATCTGTCGCATTTTCCTAGTGAATCAGAATTGGTGGTTGTGTGCCACTGTGTCGGTTCCAACTCACAGCAATTCTGTATACGGTTTTAGACACTGTAAATCTTTACAGGAGTAGAAAGGCTCCTCTTTTTCCCTTGGAGCGACTGGTAGATTCAAACTACTGACCTTGCAGTTAGCAGTCTAGCTAGTAATCTACTAGGGTTCCATGGTGGATTCTCTAGTGTGTGCTTACTTCCCTGCAGAGCAGAGCAGTCCAAATGAAACCGCTTGCCTCTACCTTGAGCTCTCCAGGCTTCTTCTCCTCTGAGGACTTGCAGCGGGTGATATCCTGCAGCTTCTGCTCCAGGGGGTCCAGGCACTTCTGCAACTTTTCCTGAGGGGTGGAGAGGAAGAGGGAAAGGTAATAACGGGCTTGGCTGACACATGCTTCATTCAGTGGTCAACCTGGTTGTTTGCTTACTACCCATCTCACCTCTTGGTCCGTATCTCTTCCATACTTGTCATTTGTGGTGTCAAATTTTTACTGATCCCTCCTTCTCTCGTCATCAGCCTGTCCAAGTTATCTCCGCTGACCCAACTTTCTTCTCACTGAATCTCACAGCTGTTCAACAGGCACCAGCTCTGTGTCTTTCCCTGAACCTGTCCATCCTCTTACTTAACGGTCTCTTACTGTCAAAGTAACCTCTGCACCCTGATACCCTTCTTCAAACTTGTACTTCCCTCCAACTCTTAATGTTAGGTGCTGTCGAGTCGGTTCCGACTCATAGCAACCTTGTGTAGGGTTTCCAAGGAGTGGTTGGTGGATTTGAACTACCACCATGAGATTGAAATTGACCTTGCAGTCCAGTGCTTTGTATCCTGTAGCGCCACCCCTTCAACTCTAACCACCTCTAAATGCAATGAGGTCTTGTCTGCTTATGCTGTAAATTACTTCAACTCTCTTTTTGAACATAATTACGTGACAACATGATATTGAAATCTCTAGTTTTCAATAATCAAAATATCTATCCTGTGTCCCAGTAGAATGTTAAACCAGATACTATATTTTTCAATATCTAGGGACTGCTGGTATGGTGCTACAGGATCAGCATTGGACTGCAAACCACAAGGTCAGTAGTTCAAATCCACCAACTGCTCTCAGGAAACCCTCTATAGGGTCACTATGAGTTGAACTGAATTGATAGCATTTAATAATAACAACAGGGAAGATGCTAACAACCACTGTTTCAGCTCTTCCTAAGTTACATCTTCTCCATGTTATTTCATTAGTTTATGAAAAACATAACACATTCTAAGGTTTCACATATAAATAATCACACATAAGACTCATATGTGTTGATGAAGTCAAGAGAGAATATGTGGACACGCTACACCACTGCTCTTCGTACTTGAGGATGATTGAATTGAGCTGGAGTACTGCGTGGCCTCAGTGTGGCTAGCTCTGAGAGGATTTCAGAGTGAGGACCCTCAAGGAATTTATAATCTTCTACCCAGGGAGTGTCCCTTCATCGCTGTTCTGCCCTCTTTCCCCACGTTGGTATCATGCATCTGGTTCCCCACCTTGTACTCCTCTGTGGCATCATCCAGCGGCACAACGGTGTGGACCCGGTGCGTGTGGGAAATTGCACATATCAAACACACAGGCTCCTGGTCCTCATAGCAGAAGAGGCTAAGGGCCTCATGGTGCTGGGGGCAGAGGCTCTCGTCCCGGATCTTCCTCTTGACGGCCTGGAGCTGCTTGGCAATTTCCACCATGCTGCCTAGTTGCCGATTAGGTCGGAGACTGGGATAGCGGGACGTCTTTCGACACACAGGACAAGGGAAGTCCCTCTCCAGGTCCTCCCACCAGCGAGTAATACAAGCTTTGCAGAAGTTATGCCCACACTCAATGATGACGGGCTCCTTCAGGTACTCGAGGCACACGGAGCAGCTGGCCTCCACCTGTAAGTTCTCCAGCGCTGCAGCTGTGGAGGCTGCAGAGGCTCCAGCCTCTAACAGACCCGTCTCTGCCATTGTTTAACTTGAGGGGACGAAGGAGGACAAAGAAAAGGAAAATATAGTTAGTTTACTTTTTTGCTCCCCTGACCTAAACTCATCAGGGGCTCCTCGGAAACACTATACAGGGTTGCTATGAGTCGGAACCGATTCGATGGCACACAACAAACAACAAGGTTTACTCTGATGTGGCACTGTAGGATAAGCACTGGACTGCTAACTGCAGGGTCAGCAGTTCAAACCCACCAGTCGCTCCTTGAAGACTCTATACAGGACCACTGAGTCAGAACCAACTTGACAACAACAGGTTTACTCTAAATACTTAGCAATGATTAGAGTCTTTCAAGATGGCTTTTCATAATTAATCCCCTATGTCTCTAACTAACAATTTTATCCATGAGTAAGTTTATTTCTTTATTCTTATAATCACCCTGCCCATCCAATACGCCAAGGGATCCAATAGAACAAAATTTAGCAGATCTGTATGTTGAGACAAAAATGGCCATAGTGTGACTTGGATTAACAATCATTGATAACTATATACTGACATTAAAGCCCTAGTGTAACAATGGTTAAAGTGCTCAGCTGCCAATCAGAAGGTTGGGGTTTGAACCCACCAGTTCTTCTGGTAGTAGTCTGCTTATGTAAATATCTAGTCCTGGAAACCCCATGACGCAGTGCTACTCTGTCTTATGGGATCAATATGACTAACTGCCAGGGAATTTGTTTATTTTTATTGATAGATATCAGGTAAGGAGCTCTGGTAACATAGCAGTTATGAATTGGGCTGCTAACCTCAAGGTCAGCAGTTCAAAACTACCAACTGTTCTGTGAGAGAAAGATGAGGTTTTCTGCTCTTGTAAAGACTTACAGGCTCAGAAACCCTGTACAGGGTCACTAAGAGTCAGAACTGACTCCATAGCACATAACCACATTGATGGACTTATGAAAATGTTAATTTGGAGTAGGGGCTCTACAACTTTTCTAAACCAGAATTCCTCCCACCCCCTCCCCAGCATTGGTTAGACTGGTGACCCTGTCCTTTTCCCAATCTTCTCAGAAACTAGGTGGCCTTCTCAACTGAAGTGAGTTGAATTACATGCAGTTAGGAGTCAGGAAGAGATCATTTAGACTGGCAGAGAAAATGGAGAAGTGATGTGAAAGAGTGATGGAGAAAGGATCTAGACAGTATGGAGAGGGCTTGGAACTTGTGAGGCCTTGCTTGTCTATGGGTTAGTCTTTCCTCTCCCTGTATTCCTTGTTTTCCAGTAAAAGGGCAAACTTCAGAGATGTCCTCGTTCTGGTTTTACCAGTACCCAGGATCCCATCTTGCAACCCGTTCCTGAGTGTTGTCCAAAAGTCTGTACTAACCCAGTCTCCATCTTCTGAGAGTATGTGAGGGAATGTCATGGCTGGTGGGGCAGCTGTAAAGGTAGTTTCCAACTTTCAATGGTGTTCTGTTCCAACAACGCTATTATAAACAGGTTCTGACCTAAGTTAAGTATCTTTTCCTAAGTTTTCATTATTATTGTGTTTTATTACTTGTACAGTATCTTCAAAAATCTGATCTTCACCTGTCTTTGGGGTTTGAAAACATAAACATCTGTTACTGAACACCTAGAACATCAGTAAATTATGTGCTGTAACACTGTACACAGTACACACTGCTCCAAAGTACTATGTCCTATATATACATACTACTTGGATGTGCCTGCCCCAAACCTTGGTGTTTTCAGTAGCCTCATATACATGTGAATCGACTCCATGGTACTTAACAACAACAACAACATATACATGTGAAAGTTGGAAAATGAATAAGGAAGACTGTAGAAGAATCAATACATTTGAGTTATGGTTGTTGTTGTTGTTGTGTGCCATCGAGTCGGTTCCGACCCATAGTGACCCTGTACAGGGTTTCCGAGGGTGTAAATCTTTTACGGGAGTAGAAAGCCTCATCTTTCTCCCGCGGAGCAGCTGGTAGTTTCGAACCGCTGACCTTAAGGTTCGCAGCCCGATTCATAACCACTACGCTACCAGAGCTCCTGAGTTATGGTATTGAAGAAGAATACTGAAAGTATCATGGACTGCCAGTAAAAGAAACAAATCTGTCTTGAAAGAAGTACTGCCAGAATGCTTCTTAGAAACCAGGATGTCAAGACTCTGTCTCGCATACTTCAGACATGTTATCAGAAGAGAACAGTGCCTGGAGAAGGACACAATGTTTGGTAAAGTGAAAGGTCAGTGTCAAAGAGAAAGAACTCCAACAAGAGGGACTGGTACAGTGGCAGCAACAATGGGCTCAAACGTAACAACTGTGAGGCTGGTGCAGGACCAGGCAGTGTTTCATTCTGTTGTATATATGGATGCTATGTGTTGGAACCCACCTGACAGCATCTAACAACAAAGATGTACAAAAAAGTTTGTCTTAGCCTGGGATTGCCAGTAAATGCAATTTTGTCAAGTCTTCCTCCAAATCTTTGACTAGTGAAAAAAAGTGAACAAAAAGTACAAGAGCAGACCAACTGCATTTAGCATGTGTGATCCTAAATTTTTACACTTCACTCATTTGATCCATCTTCTGCAAATAAAAATGTCTGGTTATTGGGACAATAGGCTAATTATTGCTAAGTGTTTGCAAACAACATTACAACGGTGGCAAGCTGGACCATTTTCTTTCTATGAAGGAGACTTGTTGTTGTTAAGTGCTGTCCAGTCGGTTCGGCTCATAGCGACCCTGTATAGGGTTTCCGAGGAGTGGCTGGTGAGCCTGAACAGCTGATTTTGCGGTTGAAACAGACCTTGCAGTCCAGCGCATTAACCCACAGCGCCACACCAGGACTCCTAAGACTACAAGCTGCGTTTTTTTCTACCACGTGTTTCATACTTCCAGGCCCTTAACCGCTCACCTCAGCGCCTGTCCCAACTCTTCTCTAGATCTATCAGACCTCTCTACCCAGCAAGGCTCCTCCTCAACCCCATCGCCTCACCACCTTCCTCTCAAGTCCCAAGCCTGCAGAGCTTCCAGCAGCACGAGAAAAGTTAGGCTATAATTAAAAGCCCGGTGTCGCTGCATAAAATCATTTGAACTTGCGGAAAAACTCTCAACAACAGTGCCTGTTGTGCAGAGGGCAGGCCTTGGGTCACACTCAGTAACTAGAGTTTAACCAATGCTTGCTGTGGTCGGGCCACTTGCGAAGAGCTGGAGACACAATGAGAGCAGCAGAAATGCGGGACCAGCTCTTTACAGACTCTTAGTCTAGCCCTGGTGTGGCGCTGTAGGGTAAGAACTGCAAGGCTGACGGTTCAAATCCACTAACTGCTCCTGGGAACCTTACACTGGGTGGCTAAGAATCGGAATCGACTCCACGGCACTAGCTAAGGCACGGGGTGGACTTAAAAGTTTTGAAGCACTGGGTATTCTGTAAGAACTGTTTCTTAAATGTTAAAAGACTGACACTCAACTAGTCGGAAGTGACGCTTCAGCTGAGAACAGCAGGTCCTCCACGTAATTGGCCGCCACCGCAACTAGCGCTCTCCCGGACTGGCCTGACGAGAAAAGCGTGGCTAGACCATCACAGCCCCCTCCCTCAGCTCGCAATCTCTCTGAGACCCACCAAGCCTGCCTGACCAGAGCCCGGGCCGCAGTCTGGACGGGACAGCTTCGCCCGCTCCGGCCCTTTTTCTCCAGCGGACTCCTCGGGTCGCCTGGACGCTGGCGTCTCAGCCACCTCCCTCTCCAGGTCCCTTTTCGCCCTGGACACCTCCTACTGGTTCTCACCTCCGACCCCGCTTTTCCTTCTCCCGCAGGTACTCCTAGGCCCACAAGCGGCTGCCCGCGGGCACCCAACTTCACTCAACCAGAGCCTCTCCGCGCTGCCGGTTTCCGCTTCCGGTGAGTATTGTGTATCGTGCTGCGGGGCGGAGGCGGGGCGAGGAGGAAAGAGGCAGCGCTCCTGTGGCTCGGAGCCCCGCACTCCCGGACTGGAAGGCGGGAAGGTAGGTGCCGTCCTGGAAACCCTATATTGGGTCGTTACGAGTCGAAACCGACCTGACGGCACTTAGCAACAACAACAACAGTTTCCGAGGACTCCGTGTGTGGCGCTGTAGGATCGGCGCTTCACTGTGAATCACAAGGCCGGCAGATCAAGGCCCACCAGCTGCTCTTCGGAAAGCCCACACTGGGTCCATATAAGTTGGACCTGACTCGACACTTATCAACAGTAACATAGTTCCCTAAGAATCCTGGTGTGGCGCTGTAGGATAAGCAGTGGACTGCTAACCGCCTTGTCTGCAGTTCCTATCAGCCGCTCTTCAGAAATCCTATACAAGGTCGCTATAAATTGGACCTGATCAACAACATGCTTCCTGAGAGGTGAAATAACACCACAAGGATATCATGCTATGAACTATTGTAATAGGAAAAAGGATCATATAAAATTTGTTTTAAAAAAAGATTTTATTCAGAAAAGAACAGAAAGAGATCTTGAGAAACCACTGAGTCAAGGGGAGGAAATAGCTATATTTGCAAGGCAGGTCAGAAAACTAGTGGAGGTCACAGAGGTGGGGTTGGGGAGACAAGGTTCAAATGTCCAGTCTTCTGAAATTCTCAGAAAAGGCAAAGCATCTAAATTTGTTGCCATCATATTCATATTATAAAAATGTTTTATCAGCAGACATACAGATAAAAGTCCTCAAGTTGCTTTTTATACTTGATATATCTTGGTTCTCTGTTTTTCTTTTCAGTTCAGTTTTATAGAGTGACCTTTTTTATGTTTGCCTTATTAATTCATTGTGTGAAGGTATAATTTATTCATTGATTTGATTACCAGTAGACATTTAAGTCCGTTTCAAGTCTTTCTATAAGATATGCTGCACACGTCTTTGCACATAAATCTTTAGATTTCATGCCATTATATTTTGTCAAGTCTTCCTGGCAAGTAGATTGCATAGGAATTTAAAGTTTTTGTATGTTTACTTTCTTTCCTCTACAGTGTCTATTATGAGAGAGTCTGTTTCTT